ACCAGACAACTACGTGGATCCTCCGTGGGCCAGAAAACTTCGGTTTTCTCAACGTTCACATGCAGGCCGAGACGAGGTCCCTCCACCAAAATCAACTCCATAACCTTTCCTACCACCAAAGTGTCACTAATAATTGTGCCGTCATCCAAATACCAAGCCTGCAAGCAGAGGTCGAAAGAATCCCTGATTCGGCACACCAACGGATGGAGCACCAAAGCAAAAAGCAAAGGGCCAAGAGGATCACCCTGCTGCACTCCTTGACAAGACCTTAAGGTATGCTCCCCGTAAAACAGTCTGGCTGGAGAAGAGTAACTGAATTATTATTTATTATTATTATTATTTCGAGCTGTTTCTTAATTTGCTGTTGTTGTTAATTAAATAAAAGTCTACAATTATGTATCGGATTTTCTTGACAATATGATTGAATTTATATTTTTTCTCAAATTAGTTATAAAGTTTGATGAGAGTAATAAATTGACTTTTGAGTATTTTCTGGCACACGTTTGCAAAGGCATTGACAAATATCTCAAAGGAGGTATCAGATCAAACAATACCAAATTTAATGGTTTATGTAATTCTCAATCATTTATACTCTTATATGCTAAATAATTGGAAGGTTTAGGAAATTATACCTGGATGTGACAATTATTGCTGATGCATTTTGAACCTTGATTGTGTATAAATTGACCATTTAAAGTAGTGTATAATTGGAATGGGAGTTTAATATTTATGTTAAATGGGTTGGATGCCTGCTTCTATATAATTGACAATTATTTTTGATTTTTTTTTTACTCGCTGCTTGTATGTTTGCTACTTGTTAGCATATCAAGACTACTAACTAATTGAAACATTGGTTATATAGTATAAGTCAAAACTCTTATGAATATAAACCATTAAATTATGTTTGAAAGATACGGAGTACCTGGTCATTAGTTGATTAAATTGCATAAAAGTGTCTAGCATAAAATAATCCTAGCTATTTTGTCTAGGTGTGGCCATTAATAGATATGATTAAGTGACCTCTGCATATTTTCTTTAACAAATTATTCTCTGAAGTAGCACCACCAAGCACTTAATAACCTTAAGAATTCACAGGTTTTCTTCCAACAGGTATCTAGTATTGGCTTTTGTGCATATTGGACTATTGGTTCAGTTTTATGACTATTAAGTAGCTGGTTATGCCGTTCAAACTTCCTGTATATATTATGTTGCTAGGAGAAAAGGGTGGCTACTACTTTTACAATATGCTAAAGTATAAGATGGTTTCTTTTGACCCTAAGTCGGTGCATTGTTTCTAGAGTATATACACTGCAGATACATGTAGAGAATGTAGGGGATGAGGAATCAATGCCCTGGTGCCATGATTATTAATTTTGGATGTTGTGTTATTGATGCAGTATGCATCACTGAATTTCTCTGATCAACGATAATTTTGATATAGAAGTATGTGGCTAAGGTTTCCAAGATGTAGTCATGCATATACTCTGGTAAATTGTTGTGGTTATAAATGTGAAAATTGCTACTAGTGTCAAGTGACTTGGAGTTTCTATGTGCTTCCTTTTTATCAATCTTCGATATTAATTCAAAAATAAATAACTTGTTATTTCATGTGTTGCTTAGACTTTATTTTAAATGTTTGTGTTGCTTGTAATGGGAGTCGACTTATAATTTGGTTTCATAATATCTTTTTTGTCTTTACGTGGTTGTGCAATGAAAGCAGCTTAGCAGCGTGTGTGAAGGCTATACTGCTCCCACCGCGACCAACTGTGATAATCCAAGTACAAGGAGTGACGACGGGAGCTATATCTATACTGCTAGGCCTTTTTTTTTTTTTTTTTTTTTTTTTTTTTTTTTTTTTTTTTTTACCATAATTTGCTGCAATAAAATGAGATAAGAGGATCGGAACAAAATTTAGTTTGTATCTATTAATTGAAAAATTATTATTCTACATTATATTTATATATTTATTTTTATCTTTTTGTCCATCAATGAATTGTTGCCCTTAATTATAGTTTAATAATAAAAGTATCATTAAGCTACAATGAAACATCTCAACCTAGCATTTGCTGGGAATATCTTTTTTTTTTTTTTTTTTTTTTTTTTTTTTTTTTTTAATATTGAAAATGAGCATATGTAACTAACAATTAGGTACCTATTTGTAATGGACAAATTAATTGTTAGTTATAAATACATACCTATTTGTAACTGACAAATTAATTAACTGTTAGTTACAAATACATACCTATTTGTCACGAGCAAATTAATTGTTAGTTACAAATATATATCTACTTGTAACGGACAATGTTAGTAACAAATGACTGGACTATTTGTAACCCTAGTAGTTGTAACCCCCAATGTTGGTTACAAATAGTCCGTTTTTGTTAGTTACAAACAACATTTTTTCTACTAGTGTGGTGATCACTTGAATTAAAATCATATTAGCGTAAATCAAATTATTAATCATATTATTAGGCGTGATTTCAAGTACAAATTCCCTTTAAACCTGAAAAAGGGGCATGATCAAGCAATAACAATAAATCATGAATAATCAAGCAACATATGATTAATATAACAATCATCATCATAACAACATCATCAAAACATCATTAGTAAGATCCTAGGCATGATGCTAAACGGATTAATAACAAATCCTAGCATGTCACCAATAATCAAAATCAAAGCGTTATCTAAACATGATACTAGAAATCATAATAAGCATCCTAAACATGATACTAGGAATTAAAATAACATTGTAAACATGATTTGTACTCCAAAATCAAAAGAATAATTAACAAGGGTGATTGAACTACTTACTTTGGTGCCTCTTGCTATTAAAACAATATACATGTTAGTAAACTTCAAGAAAGTTAAATCAATAAAGTAAATAAATCAAAAATGAATTGAAATATAAATTTAGGACCAAACCCTCAAAACTATCAACCTTTCACGTCGAGGTCGAAGGCAACGTCGAGGATGGCTCAAAATATTCAAATCTCGCAAAGGAGGTGTTGTGGATGATTTATATGTATCAAGAATTTGTTTAGGCTAAGAACATTGATGATTGATAAGGATTGATGTTGATTGGAGCTAAGTGGTTATAGCTTATGATTGATGGTTCTAGTTGATTTCAAAACGAGGAAAACTACCTCTATTTATCAGGAAAAAAGATATTCGGACGATCAGAAAAGATCAAAATTTGGAATGGAATAGAACAGCTCGTATCGCGGGGCGACAGGAGCTCGAGGCTCGACAATGACCATCACAGCACGATAGGACTATCGTGGTGTGTTGGTTCTGTCGTTCCGCGATTGTTTCTAAATATAAACTGTCGTACGGAGTTTGATTTCAAGTATAATTGGGTCAACGAAATACATTCGGACGTCTTTGAATTTGATCGTGGTAAGGACTATTAAAAGAGAAGTTTTATTCGGCTTCGAACTCTTTTGATCTTTTCGGAAAGGATAAACTAGAACCTTCTAGAGGATTCTAGATGTTCCTAAGGAATTATAATTGGATTAGGATTGGGAATAAGATGTTTGGACCCTCATATGATCATTGGGTTGTAGGTAAGGTGGACCTAGGTCCGGTTTAGGCTTGTTTTAGTATTTTGGCCATAACTTATTCGTTTTAAGTTGGATTTGGGCTTATAATACATCGTTGGAAAGCTCTTTTCAAGCCCCATCCAACTATATTATTATTAAACTAGGATTATGGACCAAAATAATCTGGTTGGGACATTTTTATGACTTGGAGACGAAATGAATGATTTCAAGGACACGAAATGAATGATTTTAGGTTAAAACATTTTAGGAAAGGTTAGGGGTATGGTCAAGGCTTAGGGAGATTTCACGAATCTCTTCAACTCTTTACAGATTTCGTTCATCAAAGTCGTGAAAGGTACTCATCACCGGGTTTGGTTTTTGGGGAGACACAATCAGGTGTCTACAGTCTGCGACTACATTTGCTTTCCTTTCATGATACTGGATGTCCAAGTCGTAGTCTGTTGCAAATTCTAACCATATCCTTTGACGTGAGTTTAGATCTCTTTGGGTGAAGATGTACTTCAAACTTTTGTGGTCTGTATAGATCCTACATTTCACCCCATATAAGTAATGTCTCCAAATCTTTAGTGCAAAAATGATTACAGCTACTTCTAAGTCATGAGTAGGGTAGTTTACTTCATGAGGTTTTAAATGTCTCGATGTATATTCAATCACCTTTCCATTTTGCATAAGCACACATCCCAGACCATTCTTGGATGCATCACTATACACATCGTAGATTCCACTATCATCTGGCAATGTTAACACTGGTGCCGTTATCAACTTTTGCTTCAATAGCTGTAACTCTTCCTCATACTTCTCATTCTACTTAAAATTCTTGTCCTTCTTCATTAGAGAGGTCATAGGCTTAGCAATCTTAGAAAATTCCTTCACAAAACGCCTATTATACCCTGCTAAACCTAAGAAACTACTAATTCCAAACACAATCTTTGGGCGTAGGCCATCCTTTTACTGCTTCAATCTTTGTTGGATCTATTTCTACCCCATCCTTGGATACAAAGTAACCTAGAAATGCTACCTTTTGTAACCAAAACTCACACTTGGAAAACTTCGCATCGAGCTTGTTCTCCCTTAAAGTTTGTAGAACCGCCCTCAAGTGTTCCACATGTTCCTCCTTATTCTTCAAATACACCAGTATATCATCTATGAACACTACGACAAACTTGTCCATAAATGGATGGAACACTCTGTTCATCAAGTCCATAAAGATTGCTGGAGCATTCGTCAATCCAAATGGCATTGTTGTGAACTCCTAATGGCAATACCTTGTCCTAAATGCTGTCTTAGGGATATCTTTGTTTGCGATCCTTAACCTCAAATCATTCTTAGAAAACACTGATACGCCTCTCAATTGGTTAAATAGGTCTTCAATCCTTGGTAGTGGGTACTTGTTCTTTATGGTGACCTTTATTCAACTCTCTGTAGTAATACACAATCTCATACTTCCATCCTTCTTCTTAACAAACAACCTGGAGCTCCCCAAGGCAATGCACTTGGTCTAATGTAATCCTTTTCTAGCAAATCCTGTAGTTGCTCCTTCAATTCACTCATTTTTGTAGGTGCCATTCGATATGGTGTCTTGGAAATTGGTGTTGTTCTTGGAACTAACTCTATTGTGAAATCAATTGCTCTCTTAGGTGGCATCCCTAGAATCTCCTCTGGAAACACATCTAGAAATTCATTCACCACTTCTATGTTTTTTGGCTTATCTGCCTCTTCATGATCCAAGTTCCTTACACTACAGAAATACAATGGATGCCCTTTCTTTATGTATTTAGCCATTTTCATCATAGAGATGGTCCTTGGACACTTTGTTTCTCCATGCTTCCAATGGGTAACCAATTCACCCTCAGCTGTACTTAGCTGTACTTTCTGTGATCGACATCGAATCTCTGCATTATACTTGCTTAACCAATCCATTCCCAAGATGATATCGAAGTCACTTAACCCAAATTCGATGAGGTCAGACAAAAACACCTTTCCTTTGATCTCTAATGGCACATCCTTAAAGGTTTTGGTACACTTTACTACCCCTCCCATAGGAATAACTATAGGTACATCTATAACATCTACGGTTTTCAAACAGTGCGACAATTTTGAAACAATGTCTTTTGAAATGAAATAAAAAGTTGCACCAGAATAAAAAAAAACTTTAATAGGAATAGAGTTAATAGAAAAAGTATCAGTAATAACATCCTTCGTGGTACCAGCTTCATGCCTACTTATCACATTCAGTTTTCCTGGAGCTCCACTTTTCACCTAATCATTCCCACTATTGTTTCTTTTCACCTCATTTTGCTATGGTCCTTTGTTCTCTGCATAGTTGTTGTTTCCTTGAAAATTCCTTTGAGCCCCTCGATTATTTCCCTGCTTGTTTTGGTTAGGATCTTTGGAGAAGCACTCATATTCCCTATGTCCCATATCTTGTTGCAAGCGCGACAAATAACCAAATTACCCTTGCGGTCTTTACTAGGGTGATTATTTTTGCACCTCCTACAGAAATAACGCCATGCTTCCTTATTATTTCCCTGGTTAGAGTTCTTAGCTCCTCCATTGAAGTTTCATCCACCCTGACGATTGCTATTGTGGAAGTTATTATTGTTGTGGAAGTTATTACTGTTGTTGTGGTGGTATTTCTGCTTCTTAAAGTTGTTCTGGTTACCTTGGTGGTTTCTAGAGCCCTATCCTATCTCCTTTCTCTTTTCCTTTCCTTCCACCTCAGCTAACTCCTTTTTTTTCTTCAACTATAAAGCATAAAGGTGTGCAGACCTCCCATAAACCCCATCCAGAGTCTTAAACACTTGTCTACACAGCTTTAATTGAAGATCAGTGGTTAATCCACTCTCGAACTTCCTAGCCTTTGCCTTTTCTGTAGCAACAGATTCCATGGCAAACCTTGACCGTGCAATAAACCTAGTATAATATTCAGTGACTGGCATCTCTCCCATTGTTAGGTTAGAAAATTCCTCGGCTTTTTGTTTTAATAGGAAACTAGGGTAAAACTTATCCCTAACCTTTTCCTGAAATATAGTCCAATTGAAACCAGGTAGTGCCTTAATGATAGCCTCATTTTGTTGCCACTAAAGGACAGCTTCTCCCCTGAGGTAATAGGTAGCACAACACAATTTCGAATTTTGTGGGCATCCTATTGCCCCAAACAGTTTCTCAAACTCCCTTAACTAATTTTCTAACACAGTTGGGTCTGGTTCGCCTTGATAGGTTGGTGGCTTGCTTTGTGCCACCTTTTTGAAAAACTCTCCCTGAGCATCCCCATTGTTGGTCGAGTTTCTTTCTAACTGTTGGGCGACCACTGCCAATTGCGTTACAACTTCACTCAGCTCACCTCCTCCATCATTATTGTTCCTAAAAGGAATGGTGTCCTTCCAACAAGTGTATTCTTCCGATAGAGGGTTCAGAATTATTACAGAGTTAATTCTTCAGTAAGATCAAGTGATCGGAATGCCTAGGTGGAGGCCGCTTCCGATCAGTAATATCGAGGTACAATTGATATTACAGCTTAATCTTAATTGAACCCTTTGGGTCGAACCCAATAGAATCACCGATCCAAGACGACGAATTAATCCAAAAGGATTTAATGAGTCGACAGAGTTTTACAAATACAAACGTCGGATATCGAGCCTATAGGGCGCGAGACCGAGCGTCGCAAAATCACTAGCGACAAGTACTAGCGTAGCCGTAGCACCACAATGGTCTAACCATGTGGATGCTAGGCTAGTTCGAGCTAGCATGCACCTAGCATGGATAGGCGCTATCGCAGCCCTAACATGATGCCTAGGCGCACCATCGCAGCCCATCGCAGCATCGCAGCACAAGCACAACACCATCGCATGGCTAGGCCAGTGCGTGAGTGCGTGTGCTTGTGCCTTAGCCTATCGCAACATCTCTAGGCGCACCATGCGTGCCCTAGGATGGCTTTGCACCATCACAGCCCAGGCAGCATGTCTAGGCGCACCATGCGTGCCCTAGGATGGCTCGGTGCCGTCGCAGCCCTAGCACAATTCTGGGCGCGCATAGCAGAGCCACATCACTAAGCACAACCAATGCTAGGCACCGGCGCATGTTCTAGTGCGTGGATGCCTTGTAGCATCGCCCAGCACGCATGCTAGGCCCTTGCGTGCATAGGCGCACTGGCTAGGCTAGCAATGCTTGGTGCGTGGTGTGAGGATACTAGGCGTTTGCGCTGCCTAGCCAATGCGTGGTGTGAGGCTGATGCGTGCTGTGCGTGACTAGTGCGCATGGTGCGTGGCCAGTGCATATGATGCGAGGGTGATGCGTGTAGCTGGCGAGGCAAGGGGCTAGCATGCGTGGCTCGCTTGCAGCACGCATGCAGGCTATGCAAGCATGTGCGAGAGAGGCGAGGGGAAGTACCAGCGCCAAGCATCGCCCAGCACCAAGCATGCACTGCCTGGCTGGGATGCGAGGCTGCAGGGTGGGCTGGTACTGGCTGGCTGGGCTATCTGACATTGCTAGCTGGCAGCAGCCCAACAGCCCGTTGCTTAAGGCGGTTTTGTGAGGGGTGGGGACCAAGGCTTGGGCAAAGCCTTGGGGAGCAAGGCAATGGTCCCCCCCACCTCTTCATGGTCCTCACCTAACCCTCTCTCTCCCCTTGACACTTATTTCATTGTGATTGAATTTAATTATTAATTTATTTTGGAAATAAATTAATTATCAAAATTATTCATTCTCCCACATTGGTTGGAAAATGAAGTTCAAGGGTGCATTTCCCTATAAATACCAAAGGCATGGTATTGGGAAATGCACAACCTTGAGTGGAATTAAAAAGGCAACTCTTGTAATTAGAGTAAACCTTTGATTCATAAAACTCATATTTTTGTTTTGTCCGGGTCTTGACTAACCTTCAAGACTTGGGACGCTTGGGTCGGGTCGAGGGTACGATCCGTTGGAGATCTCGTAGTTTTGGGAGCGAAGCACGCAACAAAGGTAGTATTTTGGTTCTTAGTCTTGCTTGATTAAGTTTATTATGCTTGTTAATTGCTTTAATTAAGGGGCGGGTCTTGGGGGGTTTCCTTCCGCGTAGTGTCGGGTCACTACGAAACCCTACAGTTCCCACTTCTTCCTGCCATCTTTCTTCTCCTGAATTTAAACAAGGGTGCTTTATTAATTATGTTCATGGTTAGCTCTCAAGTTAGGCACCCATCCTACTAACTTATACCAATTATACATACACATTTAGTTTAAGCTACCAAATTAAGGTTGCAAAATTACAACTCCCAAATTTTGTAGCTTGGTCAAACAATTTGATTGCTAACCAACCATACATTTAATAAAGCATCACATTAGTGAATAAAAATAATTCCCATGGCTTCCCAGAGTTTGGAAATGAATTATTGGAATATTTGACTAAGAAATGGCTTATTAGAGTAGTGATATGAAATGAATGATTTGGTGACAAAATGAGTTACTCGACAGTAAAATAAATCTTTTCACAAGGGAATGAATATAAATTTTATTACTGAATAAGGAAATGACTGGAAAATAAAAATGAAATGAGTTCGAACAACCTACGCAAATCAATAGGTTTATTGACTTACTATGGTCATGCCACTTATTACTTTACTGGGAATGAAATAGCTATAACTGTGAAAAATAAAACTAGAAATCCTATAAGAAGTGAAACTACAAAAATATAGTCTTTTCAAACATCATCCTTCTTGTTCTTTGATTGTTTGTAGCTTCCAGGATTGAATTCAGGGTCATCCTCCTCCTCCATTAGTTCAAGTGACTTAGGATTTTGTTCTATATAAATAAACTCTTCACCTTCCTCATCGAAATGTCAATGATGATTGGGGTTGGAGGTGGATTTGGATTTGAGATTTTCATAATAGAATTGTCAACAATATGGTTACTCTCCTCCATTAGTTCTCCTTCCTCTTGCCCTCCATTTGCTTCTGGTTGATTGCCTTGTGATGGGGAAATGTTTCCTGATTGGCTGCTCGTAGAAGGGGAATTATTCCCTGCTAGGTTATCTTAATAATAATTTGGATATGGAATCTGTAAGCGTTCGCAGTGATATTTCTCAACTCGAACGAGTTAAGAAATCAAGTATATGTAGTCAAGGTACCACTGTCCATAATAGTCTTTATGTTTGGAGTAATTGGGAATGTCCCTGGGCAAGTAGAAATCAGAAAACTTTGTCTTGACAACAAGATACGGGGGTTTGTCAGGAAGACAATGAATTATCATGGCTGTAACACGATCAGGAAGATCATACTGCTTGTCTCCTAGGACATCACTCAGGTGTGAACAATAAAAGCGAATATTCTTGACATGGTCAAAGGGATGTTCATAGTCTTTCTTAATTAGTGTTCCAATTTGTGAGTTAGGAAAGATCGTCATCCTGTAAAGGAAAAGGTTTAGAAAATGATACCCTTCCCAAAGAAAATTAAATAACACAGTTCTTGCATGAATTTTGGTTCAATGTTCAATCAAACAATCTTATTATTCCTGATCACATAATTACATGCTTCCACATAATCCCATTCACATAATCAAACATCAAAACCTAAATATTAATGCATAAAAGAACATTAATAATTCTAACTTATATGCCCCGAATTCTTTCCTATCCAAGCTCACAATCATGCTATTAAAAACTTTTAACACATAATTCGTACCTAATCCTTTGCTTTCCTGCAAAACGAACAAACTATATATATTTATAATTTTTGAAAATTAGCCTAAATAAGGCAAAAAATTTCGGCCAAACTGAAAAAAAATTCAGATACCCCACAAAATAAAAAAAATTTCTGGTTTCTCCAAATAAAAAAAAATTCAGACCTTTTCACTTAAAAAAAAAAAAATTGGTCCCCTTTAAATAAAATAAAGTAAAATGAAATAAAACAACTCACTTTTTAAAATTACTCACTAAAAACACTTGCCCAAGTTTAAAACAAAATACTTTAAAACACGTTTTTGGCTTTAGTGGTAATAAAAATCTCAACCAAAGCCCCAAGATACCACTTTGTAACACCCTAGAAATTCCTTTCTTTTAAAATAAC